CCCCAAAACCCCAAAACCCCAAAACCCCTCGAAGATCTCAAAATTTAATAAAGAAAATGTCATCTAAAATCCTCATCTTCTGTGTTCTCACTGCGATCTCTCTTGCCTCAGTAGACATCACTGGCATGAGCGATGAATGCTCCAGCTGTATCGCTGAAGGCGGTAAAGTCTGCAAGCCTAATGCAAGAAAGGATGCTGCATACTGATGTGACCCTGATGAACTCTCTGCTGACTGAGTAAAGGGTATTCAAGGGATCTGCAGCCACAATCTCTTGTCCTGGGCCAGCCCAGGACTAGAGATTGATGCAGAAGATCACTCTCAGTACTTACTCTGTCCTAACAGTGGCTCATGTGGCACTGAAGTGTACTTCCTGTCTCCAGGAAGGCCAACTAATATTAAGGTTCACTCTGTTCCTGCCAATGAAGTCTGAGTAATAGGGATTGTCAGTAAAACTCTTGGAAACGAAAGGTTCCTGAAGATCCTTCAAACCGAGATGTCTAATGTTCAGGTTTCCATGTTTCATCGCAGTGAAGATAAGTTTACAGTAGCAGGAAAGGTTATTCATAACGATGACCCAGAGAACTCCCCAGCTCAATATATAGAAGTTGAACCTTACAAACTCTTGACACTGGTAATCGCTCCAATACAGAAGGATATGGAAGGAAGCTTCAAGGCTGCCATCATTCCTACCGAGAAGAATGGATGTAAGCTACCTTTATAGTTTATGATGGAAACCTTACTCTTGTTCTGTCGACAATAGATAGATTATTTAGCATTTATATCTCAAATTTGGTATAATATTAAAGCCATTGGGCTAATATCCACTTCAGAAATCTCTAAACTTTCAAAATATAGCAGGAGGGCTCAGCAAAGGAGCAATCATCGGGATTGTAGTGGGTAGCCTAATCCTAGCTACAATAGTAATCACTGCAATAATCTGCATCGTAAGAAGAAGGAAGGCTTCATCCTCTGAAGCAATTTACACAGCTGTGAACGAGGCTTAATACCACCACGGACTTGGAGAATATTTTCATTTTTTAATAAAGTTCGTCATCTCAAAGAGAAATGAAGTCTTCAATATTTCTCAACGATTTTGGGGTTTTGGGGTTTTGGGGTTTTGGGGTTTTGGGGTTTTGGGG